CACAGTAATCCAGTCAGAGAAAAAGGGAGGCAGACTCTGTTTAGGGCACCTTTTCTAGGCCTTCCCCCTTTTCGAGGTGAGCAGAGTGGATCCTAAATAGGAATGCTCAGTCATGGATACAGCTGCCGAGCTACTCAACTGCCTCATTCCTTGAGTCAGAACAACTGAGTCTGCATCCACTGCCCATGTGCCAGTTCATGACTAGGGGTTTCAAGATTTCATGGTCCTGCCCCCGTTACCATTTGCCAATCGCCATGCGACTTTTTGGGGTTTGGGTTTGGGATGGGTTTTTGGATCATCACCTGATTGTGGTGAGTGGGCTTGCACGTTCCTATGATCCTTGTGAGTGAAGCAATAGGGAGTCTCATATTCCCAGTAGGGTCACTGAAGGTGGTAAGGTCAAGGGGGAGGAGCTAGACAAAGAATGATCCAAGAAGTCCTTAATGGCAGAACAGGCGAAAGATAACAAGTGGTATGTTACAATGGTTGTGAAGGTGGATGAAGGCTGCAACAGATAAGAATCTACCGGTCGTCGTGACACTCATGCCATCAGAATAGAGCCTTACTGCGAAGACTGTGTTGGTCAGCGTGCACTGATCTACACACATAAAACAAATTCACGCACAGGCGTCTTCCACAACACAGGCACAGCATCCTTCTCCTAGCATCCTGGCTTTGTGTTCAGCAAAAGGCCACATTCTACAGTCATTTCTCTCAGCAAGGGGACATGCAGGCTGCACATGGCAGTTCCAGAAACTCCATCCAGCATTGCTTCAGCCTTCACTGGAGGGAAATTGTTCGTTGCCCGCTAACAACTGTGCTGTGTACGGACCTGGTGGATAAGTGCCCACCTTTTCCCCTTTCCATACTGTTAATCTCTCCAGAATGACTCACTGAATTGGCAGCTCGGTGGCTGAAGCCTCAATGGCCTCTGTCATATAGAGACACTCTTGTCATTCACAAAGAAAAGAGGCAGAGAGAGAGATCCTTTGCTAGAGATTGCTAGGCTGTAGCTCCCATCATTACTGACTGCTGGCTAGGGCTGATGGGAGTTGAAGTTAATGTCATCTGGAGGGCAAGAGGTTCCCTTACCCTTATGGCAGTTTATATGCCCTTGCTGAGGGAACACAAGAACTGGCCACAAAGCATATCATAGCTCCCTAGTTTGTTTCTGTCAAGGAGGCATATGCAAGTAGAAACTGACCACCCTTTTGGTAAAGAAGGAATATCAAGTATAGGAGACCTTGTCTTTGGCTGCCATTTTTTGGGGGGTAGCTTTGCAGATGGCCACTGCTGGGATTGCAAATGGAGAGTGCACGGTTGTACTAAGCTCCTGCTTTTGGGCTTTCCATAGGTATATTCTGACTGACCACTATGGAAATAGGATGCTGGACTAGATGGGCCATTGGCCTGATTCAGCATATACTTCTCATGTTCTTAAAATGATTTTACCATGTTCTATTGGCACATTTAGGCACCTTGAAAGTAAGCTAAGCACACACCACACACACACACACACACACACACACACACACACACACACCTGCACTCCACCCACTGATATTTTATCTCCTCTTTGAAAATTTTCAAATGCGGCTTTTTTGTATGGAGGAGGAATGGTAGAAAAAACATCAGGATAAATTTTCTCCAGACTAGTAGTTCTTTTAGAAATGGTGTTTCATGCTTCCAGCAACATGGCAACAACAATATTCCACATGGCTGCCAAGCCACTTCATTCTGCACTAGCTGCAGCCTCCAAGTTGTCTTCAGCTGAAGCTCCACATTAAGCACATTGCAGTAATGAAATTGGTGCTGTTTATTTTGTAGAAATATTTAACTACAACACTCAACCTTTTAGATAAACAGTGGGCCTTATTAGAAGTGAGCCCACTGAGTTTAATGGGACTGCCTCCCATGTAACTATGTACAGGATTATAACAATAATGGCATGCTCCAAAATATTAGTTGAGGGAGCGCATGAGAGTACATATTTTTGACTAAAGTATGTCTTGTGTTTTATTATCCCCTTGTTACTTATTGAAATATCCACACTGCAGGAATTTATTGATTTAATGTTTATGGACTTTGTAATATGTTTATTAATTGAATAGTTGGGTTTTCCCTTAGGAACTGAACTGAAATTTTATTGATGTTATTGTACAATTTTATTGCCATTCTCCTCCCTGCTTTCCTCCCTCTCTTTGCGACACACACATACAAACACTAAAATTATTGTTAGCAGCTTTTGACTTTACTTTTGGAAAGAAAAGTGAGGCACAAACATTAAAAGGAAAGGTCTTGGATGTGGAACAGGTGGATACAATCCTGTATTCAGATACAAAGTTGATAGATGTTCTCACCTCACAGCTTGACTAACCTCATAGCATCCTTTCAGGGATACAGTAACCCCATATATAGTAATTGGAGTAAGGGTATCTTACAAACTGAGTCTAAAGACCCACTTATCTGGTAGTAAGTCTCACTTAATTCAGTGGGACTCACTTAATTCCATGAGACTTACTTTTGAATAGACACTATATACCGGTAATTGTGCTATAAATGCAAAACATTTGGAAATGAAGGGGGAAAGAAAATAGAGAAAAATAATTGTGAATGTTATATTGGCTGTGAGTCTTGGAAGACCTGCTGCCTGCCTTGCAGGCCTTTTTCCACCTGGCCTGGGAGGACAGGGGCCTGACTGACTCCAGCTACAAAAGCTGAGGTTGCTGAACAGACTCTTGGGCTAGGGCACTGTTTAGGGGGTTTCGTTGTGGGGTGGGGTTGTGTCCGTTATTGATGTTATCATTGTGTATCTTTATTTTAGATCTTATTATGATTTATGTGGTGATTGATTTGATTGTGCACATTTTGATGTTTTATTTCGTCTTTATGTCTACTTTTTATAGCTGTAATTATGTAATTTTGTTCATGTTGTAAGCCGACTTGAGCATGGTTTTAACTATGGAAAGGCAGCATACAAATACAATAATGTATGTATGCATATGTATTTTATCTTCTGTTGTGAGCTGCCCTGAGAAACTGATTATAAAGCAGCCTATAAATACTATATGGAAATTATAGGGGAGGTGAAAAGCAAGGGAAGGGTCACCAAAGTCTTAAACAAAAGTTGTAGCATCCTCTGGGATCAGTGGAGTTTATTGGAAGCTGAAGTGAGGGGAAAGCCCAGGGTCTCCCTCTTCCTTGTATGCAGCTTTGTTTTAGATAAATATAAGACAGTGGAAGCGTTTTATCTGAAGTTTGATGTTGAGAAGGGGAGCATCTCTCTTGTTTCCAGGTGTTGCTCCCTCTCCTCAAGTAAGCAGGCTGTACCACTTTAACCAAGACAAAGTGGCAAATTCATGCCTGCTTATACAACTTAAATTTCCAAGATCTTGGAAAGAGTTAACATTGATTTGGGTGACTTTCAAGAGGCACTGGAGCACATGTAAATTAGGAGAATGGTGGATATCTGGTTGGAAGCAAACAAAATTGGCCAAAAGAATAGGTGAAACCCTTTAAAAATAAATATATAAAAGGAGACAAGTCTATATATACAATTACTGTTTCTGCACACTTGCATTATTGTGATTCATCCCCCCCAGGCTTGGGCTAAACAGCAGAAATGATAACAGTATGGTTCACAACACACTGGGCATGAGAAACCTTATTGCTCCTGCAACACACCACAGACAAGTTGTTCATGACTATTGTGTGATTCTTATCACAGTGCTGATGAAGTGGGCAATATGGTATAGACTGCTCATATCTGATGCATGTCAGACCTCCACATCTGCAGGGGTCCAGACAAGGCCTATTTGCTACACCAGGCACAGCCCCTGAATGGCTCTGTAACTGTCAGCAAGGAAATGGAAGTTAAGGGAAATGGGAGGAGGGGAAGAGCGAGGGAAGAAATACTGTAACTGGACTTGATTGTTGAAGTCACCTTGGGGAGTCACAGACTTGGAGGTCATGGGCCCATATGTTTAAACCTCTGTAATAAACCAAAGCAAGAACTGGTAGGCCCAAGTGAGTGAGCTTGAAAATTGCCAAAGCTGAACTCCCTGCAAATGCAATTTGCCAGGGCCGTTAGAGAGTGTAAAACTCTTGCCAGCTGCAGTAAGGATTACTTTTCCTCATCCCCTTAAGTTCATCACTCTTTTTACAATGTGCTGTAACGCTGCCATACATTTGCTGAGTGGGTATGCTGGCAGCTGGCCTATCAAAAATAATTTATGTCTCTGGAAAAATGCTCTTGGACAAAGCCTCGTTTAGCAAACCCTGTGAGTGGCTGGCCTTATTGGTGAATGTAAATAACTATATCCTTAAAGACCAAAGAAATCCCACCTTAGGGCTCTGCCTAAAGCACTGTACTCCCTCCTCTGAACAAATCACTAACATGGTTTCCTTGTTATGCCATTTGTTCCCCTGCTTGTGCAAAACACTCAACTGGCACATTATATCCAAGTAATTTGTGCTCATGTTGAAACCTGTGCCTGAGGCCAACCCCTTGCTGCAAAAAGCAATCTGATGGTTGGTGTCTTCAGTGACGTCATTTGGTTGGGGAGAGATGTACGTACGCTCACTGGAGGAAGAAGAGGAGTGCAGGGGGAACACACCGCCCCCAGCAGCGCAATCCGGGTGGGGTGCCATCATGGTTGTCCCCCCCAGCACTGGATGCCATGCCCCCAGAACATGCGCCAGCCCCACTTCACCTGCTCTCCGCCCCCAGGGCCGGAGCATGAAGCTCTGCCACTGCGTATGCTGGGGTTGCCCTCCTTTGTTTCCCCAAGTCCTGATGCAATAGTTGAAATGCATCTTTTTCTGAATCAAAATATGGAAGCACACTTCATACATATATTCCAAAAGGTTTGCTTTTCAATAATATATCAATAAGAGCTACATGTCCTGAAAGGAGCACACTCTCACGGTTAATGTGTGAAGGTTACAAAAGCATGTCTTTGCTTACTCGTATAAATATAGATGGTAAAACACACTCCTACCTCTTGTCACTGCTACCACCGCTGGCTGCTTCTCCAGGAGTATGCCAGATCCAAGAATACACCGTGACTCCAAACCTGTTCAGTAGGAGTAGACAAGGTGGAAGTATCATAGACATACAGAGATGGTAGGTCCTGCAAACTTCAAGAAATATACAGTTGAATATACAGTTGTCTGTTGATTAAATGTGTTGCCAAGGCTCTGGCTAGTCTCCCAGCAGTTCCATATACATCGGCATTTCTCAAAATGTAGGCTGGGACTCTTGGCCCATTTTCGGATGGGTCTCAGTGCCACAGTCTACACCAGGCATAGGCAAACTCGGCCTTCCAGATGTTTTGGGACTACAATTCCCATCATCCCTGACCACTGGTCCTGTTAGCTAGGGATCATGGGAATTGTAGTCCCAAAGCATCTGGAGGGCCGAGTTTGCCTATGCCTGGCCTACCCAGTGCCTCCTCACTTGCCTGGCCCATCCCCATGCCATGCCACAGCCCTTCGGGTTGGATTAGCTCCAGCCAACTCCATACATGCTAAGTAAAAATGGCGAGGACTGTGAGAAGTTCAGTGGTGGTGGAAAGTATCTCTTCTCTGAGGGGAATGAACATGAGGAAGTGTTGATAGAAATTAGAAAAAGAGATAACAGGCTAACTAACATTTATTATCATTATCAGTAAATAAAATGGGAATGAAAATGCCTGAAATTGTTCTGCTGCCACATGCTCAATGAACTTCCCTCTAGAAAGGAAAGACTGGAGAGTACAATTTCAATGAAATACACTTATTGTAATTTACTAGGGTACTAGGGCTGTTTAAGCAAAAGAAAGTCTCACTGAAATTTGTTTGTTTGTTTGTCTTGTCTTATATACTGCCTTTTGCCAATAAGGCCCCAGGACATTTTACTTCAATATAAACATATTGAAAACAATAGAATTAAATACAAACAAAATATAATCAGAATAATGCCATAACTCTAAGAACAGCAGAAAAGGGTGGCATCAAATTATTTGTCAGCTAACAATTCTTCACCACACCTCTCCTTCAGAATCCTGACAAAAGAGATGTTGACCCATTTCCAAAAATAATATATTGGAGAAGTCAGATGTACCTTAGTGGGAAATGAATTTCACCACAAAACACACACTCTTCCCTGAGCTGCTGTGTTTTACACTGTGCAGGGAATCCGAGGACTTCGTCTGCAAATCTCAAGGCATGAAGAGCAGGTATTCTCTGATATATTTAGGCCCTAGGCATTAAGGGCTTTAAGTCTAAGCACCTTGAGCACAATCTGCACCCAATGTAGTTGTAAAATTGAGATTACGTACACCTGACCCCTTGCCCCCATCAGCACCCTGGTGGCTGCATTTTGCACCAATCGCAATTACTGAACCATTTTCAAGGGCAGCCCCATGTAGAATGCATTACAGTAGTCTAAACTGGAGGTTAGCAGGGCATTGGTGACTGTGACCTGTTAGTGGTGTTTTTCAGTAAACCTACAGTAGACTGGGTTGTAAGACTGAACCTTAGGGTGCACAACCATACATAAGAACAAAATATATTTGATGCACGATGTGTGTGGTGATTTCAAACCATGATAAATGCTAGACAAGACAAACTGACATCATATCAAATCCAGCACAACACAACTGCTGTAAGGCTGTACCCGATTAAGAGCCAGGAATGTTCTGTTCCCATTCCCTTCATGTACTATTATAATCCGTGTGCTAATATTTCACATGGAAGATGCAAATACAGGATGCCAGCTGTATTTACTAGACTGATTATTTATTGAATTTAAAACTTTTTTTTTTTACCTTCCCTTCGTATCCAAAAGGCTCCCTAGGCAGTTTACAAGAAAACAAAGAGTTCTATAAAGCAAGGATTAAAACAGTACAGCCAAAAAAAAAAAAAAAAAAAAAAAGGTTGCAGTAATAATTAGCAACTGCAAATACAAGATTAGCAAAAGTGGAGTGATATGGTCAGCACCTCCCTGGACTACTTCAAAGTAACCAAGGTTTCACTTCCTTCCTAAAAGTCAAATGGGTGCTCCTCAGAGGGTAGTCCATAACTTAAGAATCTAGGCCTTTCCACCTTCCTGTATTCTTCAGGGCAAAGTGACTTATTTGCCCAGTACTTTATTTAAATAAAAATGTCAGAGAATGTGAAATTGGTTGTAGTTTGATCTTTGAGGAATGTTGAAGAAATCTCTTTAGGCCGCTGCCTCTCCCAGTAGGGCTGGTAAAGAGATTATAGGCCTAGTGTATTCACAGAAAAACGCCAGGCCTCTGGGCCTAGCACGCTAATCCATACAAAGGATAACAGAGGCCTAATTAATTCTCATGTCTCGGAATCTGATAACAGCACTGCACACAGGCAAGTCCGTAAGGACTTAATGAGTTTAATCGACTGCACTTGATGATTTTATTTGAAACCCTGTGCCACAAATTAAACTATTAAAAATGCACTTGAACTTGATTGGCAGCTGTAATCCCAACAAAGTCTATTTAATCCGCTGAGTCAGAGAGTGGGGCCCAGACACAACTTTTCTCATGCTCCAGAGAAAGATACGGAGGGAATGTGAGGTTTCAGAAAGCTTGTTTTATGGCAACAAGAGATAGATGAATTCAGCGAGGAAGACCAACCGAGCAGCTACTTGGTTTTTGACGGGGGTGGCGGAAGCAGAAATAATGCAGATGGTGTGCAATGTTCACGGCCGGAAGCAGTTAATGTGAAAAACTGGCTTGAATATGTTTGTCTGTGAATGTTGAAGGAAACTGTGCAAGGCAGCCTTTGGGAAATCTTGGTAGGGATTGCACATACTTATACTGTATCATGCAAACAGTGGACGATATCCAACAAAGTATTTCCATTAGTGCAAGTATTTTCTTTTGCCCCGTGGAACTCCACTCCCCTTCTCTGTCTGTGCACCCACCACATCCTCTCCAAATTTTCTCCAGAGATTTGGTGGAACCTCAGAACAGATTTAGGAGCCTTGTGGAGAGAGGAGAGAGAGGAAAAGTTCTGTTATACAGCCAGGAGTCCTTGTGTTAACAGAACTGCTTCATCAGATACCACACTCAGCTTGAGGGGGTGAATATGCTTTCATGTTTCCCCACTGGTCATATTGCTTGTCTTTATTTCTTTTCAATGCCCCCAAATGATGTTTTTAGGAATTTAGAGTGGCTGGATTGCCTGAGCAAGTGATTCTCTAGTCTGGTGTGTCCAATGTAGACTTGGTGACAGGATGCAAAGGAGCACTGAGCTCTTGTACCTTAATAGGTGGATCGAATAGCTTCCTCCACTGCGGTGTGACAAGCCACAGCTCTTGGTGTTCCTTCTACAAAATAGGACTTTGCATCCTGTCACCATAGTGACTGAAATAGGTTTAGCATCCTGCACCTTCCCCAGCCTCTTTTGCTTCCCAGAGATGGTGTTGACCATGCTCCACGTGAAGCCACCACACCTATCAACAGTAGTGTTAACCTGAAGATCAGCTGAGCGGCCATTTCCCCATTGGCACAGAGAAGGAAGAAGCAAGACTTAAAGTCTTTAAACTTAAATTATCACTCTCACTCTTCCCTATCATTGGCTGCAACTACTTGTCTGATGTGCAAAAGTTTGTTTTTGGGGGGAGAAGACATGGAAGCAAAAGCCATCTGAGGGAGCTAAGAGAGATTGGCCCAACAAGCATCTTGCTACCATGGGCCTGCTAATAACATGGAAGGATTTTTTAAATGTTCATGTTGATCACCAGCCCCAGAAAGAAGCATTTGTGCACAGAAGCAGGCTTCTGCATTCACACACCCCATTCAGGAATGGGATACCACTGGTGTTCCAGCTGTTGTTGGACTATAACCATCCCTAACCATTTGGCCATAGCAGCTTGGGCTGATGGGAGTTGGAGTCCAACAACTTCTGGAGGGACACATGTTAACCACCCCTGCTCTGATAGAATGAGGAACTGTGGGTGTTGTTACCATACAATGGGTGTTGTTACCATGCAATCGGTTCCCCCCGATGCATCTGCCAAGCTGTGTTGCATGTAGTCCAGGTCAGAACACTGTCAGTTTGTAGTCCATCTCCTCACCCGTCAGATCCTTCATCTGCCATGATTTCTGATTATCTGGCATGGGCTATGTGTGCAGCCCTTGCTACAGTGCACTGGCATAGCTGGATCAGGGTCACTGTTTGTATATGGCTTGTGGGTATTCAGTATTGTTTATATTTTGTGAAGTTGGGAGTTTTGCTCTTCTTTTGGATGCTGTTCAAGGTGAATCCTTGTTTCCTGGAACAGCTGTAATAGGTTGCAGTGAGTTTAATCATTTTTAAAATTGCCATCACATTTCAAGCTGTGAGCTTGTCTGATCTTACAAGCTAAGCAGGTTTGGGGCTGCCCAACACTTGGGTAGGAGACTGACAAGAAAAGCAAAAATCCTGCAGGAAATGTGTTTGGGTATTCAGGAGCTAGATTCTGCAATCTAAATCAATACTAAACCAATAGCCTAGTGCTGCATATGAGTGAGATGTAAAATCCAAACTAAGTTGAAAGCTTCTTTTGAAGTTTTCATTTAAAAAAAAAAGCAATACTTGATACTCTGATCTCTTCCCCCATGCTTTTTAAAATGTATTGTTTCATTTGGATTATACTTGCCTCTTATAACCAAAATGTATGATGGGGTAAGATGTCCTGCCAGACTCAGCTAGCCCTTACCTTGGGTTATCAGGCCTTTGTTCTCCCATTCCACCATGTGAATCCTACCAGGAAGGAGGTCTGGGCTGGCTGATCCAAGCCCAGACCGTGTGGCTTAAGCAAGCCATCTTTGTGTTTCCATACAAATAATTTAGAAACATTTATCACTTTTGAACCTGAGTTTTACTGCCTCCGTTTTCTTACTGTTGTAGAGAAAAGCATAAGAATCTGACCTTTGAAGAGTTTGTAAGTAAACCATTTTTAACTTACCAAATGTCTGGTCTCTTTCTATGCTAATGTAAGAGAGGAACTTTAGAAGCAACTTAGAAGGGGATATTTTAAAGGTCTAGCTGCCTGTATATTTCCACACTTTACTTTGCTGCATATGTCCAGACTTCAAGTCTCTGCTGGGGTTCTCTCACCAAAGAGTACTTGCCCAAAACTTGGATCTTGGCATCCAGGAATTCCCTTTTTATATACCTATTTTTCTTTTCCAACCAACAAAAGGGAACACAGTAACATTTACAGTCTGGAATATATAACTGCTTATACCGACCTGCCTTTTGCTGCACAAGTTTCTATTCACCACAGAAACTTTAATAGTAGACTTATATTGACCACTAAGGATGGTCACGAGATCATAATGAAGTTGACTAGGAATATAGCAATCAAATTATGTGGAATTTATTGCAAATAAACACAATCAAACATTACTTAGATCTATAAATTCAATAGAGCAATGCAACAGGAACTCGGAAACTCTGCAGTTAAAAAGAACTAGCTGGTTCAAATCAATACACACTACTTATTGGCCCTTGTTGTCTCATCAGATTACCAGGTCACAATGTTTCAGTGAGAAAAGGAACTATAACTGCCAGAATATTCCTGTGGCTTTTATCTTCTGTTCCATTCCTAGCCCCTCTTGTCTCCAAGGCTTATACATCCACATGTCCCTGTGGCACTTTATTTTTGGTTCCTCTTTTTTTTTTAGCTTCATGTGGGTATCACTTTCCTTTTTTTAGATTGTGCATTTCATGGCTCTATATACATTATCCCACTCCCTTCTTCTCATGTCTCTTAAATGATGCCCTCCCAAATAGCATAAAGCCCATCAAAGGTTAGCATAACTGGGCACTGGTCAAAGACTACATGCCAGCCAGGCCTTTGCTACTGACGCTTATGACTGGCTCTTGCTCCTTGCTGCCTGTTCACCTGCCCTCTTCAAGTGAGGAGTGATAAGAAAAATTAATAGGGGCTTCTGCTCCCATCACCCGCCTCCTTAGGGGCTTGTGGTACAGATTATGCGCAGAGGGAGAGGGAAAAGAAATGGTCAGTGGCAAAGAAGAAGGAGTGCAGCTCACTGAAGACAGCTTGCTCAAGGGCCTCTGCAAACCTGAAGCATGGAGCTCATTTTAAGTTAAGTGTTGTTTGCTGCAGACTTCAACCTAGTGCCCTCTACATGTTTTAGAAAACAACTCTCATAAGTCCTGGCCAGCCTCCCCATTTCCCAGTCCCAGTTCCATGCTCCAGTTTTTAGTGTGTGTGTGTGTTTTAACATCCTCTGCTCTTTTCCTCAAGCATCCTTGTCCACCTATCCTTCCTGCCAATTGCCTTTTCTCAAGTCCAAGCTAGTCATGACATGTCTTCTCAATCAATCCGGGCTTGGGGAAGCAGCTGGGGATTTGCAGCACAGTCTTAGGCGTGTTTAGTCAAACGTAACTCCTGTTGAGTTCAAGGGCGCTCACTCCCTGACAAGGCAGTTCAGGATGGCAGTCTGAACACAGGCATTTTTGGGTCAGGAGCAAGATGTGCTTTCACGATGGTTATCAGTTCTATAGTATGGGTAATTGAGGCCAAAGTCCTTCAAGAGCAGCAGGATTGTGTTTTAAGTTCTTTGCCAGGTAGGATGAACTCCTGTGATGTCTTTCCCTATATACAGGAGAGTTAACTGCTTAGTGTGCACACTCAAATATTTACCATAAGCCTTATTGGTGATCATCTTCTCCAGCTCCATGGTACATAAATCTCATAGCGTAGAAGGCTTGAAAGGCTAATTTCTCATTTATTTACATTGCAGGACACTCAGGCTTTCTGACAGAGCATAACCTGCTATTCTAATCACCCTCCTATTCAAATCCAAACGTTGTAGTCACTCCCCCCACTACACACACTTCAAGAAGAAGAAAAAGTTATCCTCATGCAGCTTTCAGCTCCTGCTGCTAATTCCATCAGGAATAGCACCCTGGGGAAGCCTTCGATTTTCAGACTGTCTCAGCCCATTCAGGCATATCATCCAGTAGTCGATCCAAGAGGCTGGTTCCAAGTAAGGGGGTGGGAGGGAACGAGAAGGTAAGGATGCTGTCATTTTGGATGTACAGTTTGTGAAATAGCTGCCTGTTTCTTCATAGATGATGGAAATCTGTTTTTTGCTTTTTCTCCGAGGGTGTAAAAGAAATAATGGTTGCTTTTGCTCTCCCCACCCACTTTCCTCCCAATCACAGAGCATCTCTTCTCTTACTTGGTTTGGAAGCATCAGGCAAACGTTTTCACAAGGCCAAGCAAGAGTGCCTAATTTCTTTGGCTGCATAGTATGTGTTATTAACATGTAGAAACTACGTGTTAGTAACACATACTATGTTTTTGCAAGTATACTGTTTAGTTTGTGAGCTTCTAAGGGCTAGGATGTGTCCTGTACATAAAGCCCCATCTCATCAATCTAATAAATAATAGTATTATTTGCTGTTCTTTGTAAAAGTGTTCCAGTTCTGGGTTACCTTTGTAGCTGGGCCCACTCTGGGATAGAGTATATGTGTAGTTTCCCTATGCTGAATCAAATCATTCATCCATCTAGTTCTGTAATGATCACACTGAGTGCTAATATATATGCATGTCTGTTTTGTTGCTTTGAGCTGACTTTTTTGGGTAGGCCCCTCATCTCTTTGAAGCTTTCACTCTTGAATACAGTTACCATACTTTTAGTTGTCCTCCCACCTTGTGTTAGGCAATTTTTTATTTTTTTTTAAAGGAGCTTGCTGGGCATATGGTAGTGACAGAGCAGTGAAGTGCATGACAGACCAGATGACTGTTAAAAAGTTAGTGCATAGGAAAAAGTGTGCATGATCAGCTCACATACAGTGTTCTCTGCTTTTTACAGCACAAACCTATGCATGTCTACTCAGAAGTAAGCACTTCTGAGTTCAGTTAGGGTTACCTCCTGTATAGGATCTGAAATTCAAATTGTACTTTGTCCCCATTCCCCCCCCCCCCCCCGCTGGAAAGGCCATATGGTGCCTTTTCCAAATGTATGTTGAAAGCATTTAAAAAGAATGCTGACAACGTGTTTTCATGGAAGGAAGCCCATGTGGACACTTCACCTGTGGTAGCTGCACGCAATTGTGATACTGACTCAAAACTGATAGTGAAAACTGTCATTTTGTTTTTAATGAATACCATTGTTTGCTGCCAGTGAATAATCTCCTTGCAAAAAAGTGGGAACCTTCAAATTGTATAATACAGCTGCCTTTGCTGGCTCAACCGTAAAGCTTTGGCAAAAATACAGTTGAAACAGCCCAGGCAGAACTCTATATTGCTTACTTAAAATAAGATATTTATTTGAAGCAGGGGCGCTGGAGAAACAGAATCCAGACAAACAAAAGAAGATGATTTCATAAATAGCAGATTCATAGTTACTCTCAAGGTCTTAGGCCAGAAGGAAGGGTACAAAAGATTAATAATTATATTTGCGGGAACTGAGTCCATTTTCATCAAATGTGGATTTAGCAAGCTTATTCAAAAGCAGCTGACCTCTGAACTCCATTATTCCAGAGCAGAAGTTACATAAAGGAAGTAAGAAGTAGCTCATAAATGTTTCTCCCAATAGACCTTTGGATAAACCTCACCCAGCCCCCTATTTATTGGCCACAATGTTCACAGGCCTGAGGAAAACATGGTTCCTATCCTCATGTGAACAGAAGAGCCCTAATTGCTCAGGTCAGGCAGCAATGCCATTGACTGTGCAGAAGTACAGTGGTGCCTCGCAAGACGAAATTAATTCGTTCCGCGAGTTTTTTCGTCTAGCGAATTTTTCGTCTTGCGAAGCACGGTTTCCCATAGGAATGCATTGAAATTCAATTAATGTGTTCCTATGGTCAAAAAAAGTCGAAACAAAGCCAAATTTGGTACAACAAGAGTTTATTAAGTGCTCTTTAAAGTCACACATACTGTAAAGAGCATTTCAAAAACTGAAGGAACAATAAATTAAGTTTCTAAACATGACAGAAAAACATTTAAAAATCAACAAAGTGCACAGTACATACATTTTCTAAGACTCTGGGGGACCACTCGAAGAAGGTTTCTCTTCCACTCTTTGCTTCTTGCTGAGGAACCTGTCCATGGTCTGCTGCTTCATCCGCCTTTTCAGCAGCTCCCTGAAAGGCGACATGACCGTCGTATCAAAAGTGTTCGCATGGTCATGTGCCACGTGCTTGTTAGGGTGGTGCCGCTGTGCAAAAGCCTGCACCTCCTTCCACTTCTGGCAAATGTCCCTAAGTTCTTTGGAGGAGAGCCGTTCCTCAGTTGCTTCCTCCTCTTCCAGCGAGGCCTGCTCCTGTGCAACCTCTGCCTGCAGTTCGACCAGCTCCTGGGTGGTCAACTCGTGGTCGTGCTCCTCCACCAGCTCGCTGACGTCCTCCTCTGTGACCTCCAGGCCCATGGTCCTCCCCAAGGCAACAATGTCCTGCACCACTGTTGACTCTGGTGCATCAGAGTCACTTGGTGCCACACAGTCCGGCCACAGGCTGCGCCAAGCGCAATTCAAATTTCTCTGGCTGATCCCGTTCCAGGCCATGGTGATCATCTTCAAGCAGGTGACGATGTCGAAGTGGTCCTTCCAGAATTCCCGCAGGGTGATGGTGGTGCAATCAGTCACCTCGAAGCATCGCCTGAAAAGCTCCTTGGTGTAGAGTTTTTTTGAAATTGGCGATGACCTGCTGATCCATCAGCTGGAGCAGTGGCGTGGTGTTAGGCGGCAGGAACATGATTCTGATGAAGCTGAACTCCTCCAACAAGTCCACCTCAAGGCCTTTAGGATGAGCAGGAGCATTGTCCATCAGAAGCAAAGCCTTCAGCGGCAGGTCGTTGTCCAGCAGGTACTGTTTGACAGCAGGGCCAAAAGCAAGATTGACCTAGTCCACAAACAGCACACGTGTGACCCAAGCCTTACTGTTGGATCGCCACATGACACTCAGCTGCTCCTTGTCGACCTTGTGTTTCTTGAAGGCCCGTGGGTTCTCCGAGTGGTACACCAGCAGGGGCTTGATCTTCAGGTCACTGCTTGCGTTGGCACAGAAGAGCAGGGTCAGACGGTCCTTCATGGGCTTGTGGCCAGGCAACTTGGCCTCCTCCTGTGTGATGAAAGCCCTTTTGGGCATCCTCTTCCAAAACAGCCCGGTCTCGTCGCAGTTGAAGACCTGCTGTGGAATGTAGCCCTCCGTCTTCACAACCTCCAGGAACTCCGCTGCAAAGTCTTCAGCCGCAGGAACATCAGAACTGGCAGCCTCTCCATGCCTGACCACGCTGTGGATTCCAGATCTTGCCTTGAACCGGTCAAACCAGCCTCTGCTTGCCTTGAAGACTTCTGGCTCGCCTGAGGTTCCTGGCTGTTCCCGGACGAGGTCAGCGTGCAAGGCCTTGGCCTTCTCACAAATGACGGCCTCAGTCACTGTGTCCCCTGCACGCTGCTTCTCTTCTAACCAGATGAGCAGCAACTTCTCGACCTCCTCCAGAACAGCTGGGCGGTTCTTCACGATCCTGGTGACTCCCTTGGCCTGCATCAGTCGCAAGGATCTTCTCCCTCATCTTCAGGATGGTGCCGATGGTCGATGGGTTCCTGCCGTACTCCCTGGCGAGGTCTGTCACACGCATTCCACCGTCGTGCTTCCAGATGATCTCCTTCTTCATTTCCAGCGTCACCTTCTCCTTCTTCCTCTCGCCGGCCTCCGCAGCAGCAGTCTTCTTGGGTCCCATGGCAGCACAGCTCTTACCTTCGTAAACTCAGAAAATAAAAAGAAAATCAGCAATTCAAACCCGGAACCAAGTCCTTGAATTCCAAACACCCAACCCAAAATCCAAAACCCCCCAAAAAAGTTTTAAAAGTTTAACTTACGAAATGGCTGCAAATCACCAAAGTCTTCAAAATCCTCAAATGGCTGCAAAAGAAGTTTTGGAAAAGCTTTAAAAATCACCAAAGTCTTCAAAAACCTCAACTGTTCCCCCAGCCACCCACCCACCACACAGAAATTGCAAATCCCTCTCCAACTGTTCCCCCAGCCCCTCCCCAACTGTTGCAAACCCCTCCCCAACTGTTCCCCCAGCCACCCAGCACAGCACACAGAAATTCAAATCCAGAATTTTTTTTAAAAAAACAAAACAGCAGAGTGGCCCAATGGTCACAGAAAAACATAAAAATGCAGAAAAAACCACACAAGCTCCCAGATTCTTGCAAACCCCTCCCCAACTGTTCCCCCAGCCACCCAGCACACAGAAATTCAAAACCCAGAATTTTTTTTTTTAAAAGAACAACATGGCCCAATGGTCACAGAAAACCATAAAAATGCAGAAAAAAACCACACAAGCTTCCAGATTCTTGCAAACCCCTCCTCAACTGTTCCCCCAGCCACCCAGCACACAGAAATTCAAACCCAGAATTTTTTTTAAAAAAACAACAACATGGCCCAATGGTCACAGAAAACCATAAAAATTCAAAAAAACAAAAAACACCACACAAGCTCCCAGATACTTGCAAACCCCTCCTCAACTGTTCCCAGAGCCACCGAGCACACAGAAATTCAAACCCAGAATTTTTTTTTCAAAAAAAGCAACATGGCCCAATGGTCACAAAAAATCATAAAACTGCAGAAAGAAACCACACAAGCTCCCAGATTCTTGCAAACCTCTCCCCAAGACCAAGTCCTTGAATTCTAAACACCCCAACCCCAAATCCAAAACCCCCCAAAAAAGTTTCAAAAGTTTAAGTTACCAAATGGCTGCATAAGAAGTTTTGGAAAAGCTTCAAAAATTCAGCGAAGTCTTTAAAAAGCTCAAAAAGGCTACCACACCGCGTGCTATGTGTTGCTCCTCGAAGTCAAGTCACAACTGCACCTCTTCAAGCAATGCACCCTGGGTATTAACGGTTTTAAGACAAAGGAAACAAACTTGCAAGACGTTTTGGTCTTGCGAAGCAAGCCCATAGGGAAATTCGTCTAGCGAAGCAACTCAAAAACGGAAAACTCTTTCGTCTAGCGAGTTTTTCGTCTTGCGAGGCGTTCGTCTTGCGGGGCACCACTGTACTTCTTTGTTGTTTGTCCTGAATCTCCCACCTTTCAGCTTAACTGGATGAGCCTTGGTTCTAATATATTATGAGAGGGTGTAAAACTCTGTCCACTTTCTTCACACCTTGCACGATTCTGCAAAACTCTGTCATGTCCTTTAGCATACCTTTAAATCCTTTGTTTTCTAACAGTCTAAGGGCCTCTATAGCTTAGTTATGTGGATGTGGAGAGCGCAAGTCCAGTCTGCCAGGCATGTTTTCCTAGAAGCAAATACATTCACAAGGGGCTAGTATGTTTAATGCATAGGCTTCCTGTGGAGTTTGCCTGACTTACAATTGACCTCTCAAATACATGGCTGTCAGATTACTGCTTGAACCCTGGCGGTCCCACTGCACAGTTCAGTTCTCTATTCAATGGACCACAGAGGACCAAACGAGATGTGAGGCTGCAGACATGGGTGTCACTCACTGCTGCGTCCATGTAACTGGTGCTTGAGAGAGAGGAAGATTGATTGATTAAAAGTGGTATGGGGAGTGCAAAGCAACTTCAAGGAGAAAAGTGCAACTGGGGGAAGGGTCCCCTTCAAGCCCTCTGTGCTGTGCTTTGAATTTTGCCCCATCCCCTTCACAGAGCATATACAGGACTCAGGTAGAACACTGCTTCCATCTCATTTAGCTTCTCCTGTTATTGCCTTTTCCCATAAACACTGCATATTACTGCTACAGCCTCAAACATGAAACCAATAACTCTGCACAAGAGACCAATTTCAATACCCATTTGATGGAGAGAAATGCTGTTTAGCCGTTTTCCTGCCATGAGTGTAAGCCAGGCTGCCCTGTACACAAGAGAGGACGAGAAAGGGCACTATAATGGATTAGCTGTGAGAGGGAATAGTAGTGAAATCCTCAACTGGAAATAAAATCCTTTTTGCAGAAAGCAATGTTTTAAGCTTTTAGTTACGTGACATTTATCTAGATGTGATGCGGGCCAGCCATTCAGAATCATAGTAAAGATGACCTGCTCCAATATCCACTTTCTGCAAAATATCGTTTTCTTTTGCCTTGTCTTTCAGATCTGGAAAAGGGATTGCTGTTTGGCGTCCTGAAGGTATCTTCAGAAAGTCCCCTCAATTTGTTTAGATGTCATTGTCACCTTTGACAGCGGTAGTTGCTCTTTGTCTTTTGACTACAAAAAGCCTTGCTAGCTTCCCTCCCCACCCCTGTTCTGTTTGTATGTGTTTTTTAAAAAGAGGCCTCCCAAGGACAAATTGCTCAACTCTTCTTGGAGCAAATAATCCCACTTTTGAGTAGCATTGAGCAAATTCTCATGGGAAGAGTGGGGGGGGGCATGATGAGAGTGTGATCACACCCCATCACAATCACATTTTCACCTGCTCATGTGATCGGGCACAGCTGTGACTTGCTAGTAATTACTTGCCTGTAGCTGAGACAAAGCTCCCAGTTTTATAACCAGCTGTTTTATTCATGTGTCCATGTTGTGCTCCTAGCCTTTTTTTGGGGGGGGGTGTAGTTTAGAAACTGCTGCTCAGTTTTTCAGCCAGTAGGGCTTTTCAGAGGCCCTGCATCTGATGTCCCAGCTGATTAGATGTACTGTGGGTTGGGGATCCCATAATGTTAGTCGTATGGTCAGGGATTGCATTCTGCAGGGGAAAGGGATGCTGAATACAGATCGTGTCTTGGGTCCAGAAGATCCAGTCAGCAGTACTGATCAGGAGGATTCTAGAAAACTGTTGTGAAACAGTGGGTCCTACCATAACAGCCTTGCCTTTTATTTATTGGATCTTACCAATTTATAAGTGATCTGCACTGTTGAGCACCTTCTGAAAATTGTATATGTTCAAAGGATACCAAAGTATGTAATACTGCCTGTTTGTGTGGATACAAATCTGAGTTATTGTTAAAGCAATTCAATTTTTTTAATGGTTTTCTCTTGCATCAGCTTCATTAATTCATCGACTGTTAAAAATAAAATATTGGTGTGTTTAGAGCCTGAATTGCTCATCTTTGGAAAGATCATCAGTGATACTTGAGTCAAGGGCTATCCACACCTGTAATCCAATCACTTGCAGTTACTTCCATATTAAAAGCTTCTACGTGTTACTTTCATGATACAGGATCTTACAAATATCAACTTAGTGTCCATTTATAAATAGACAACAGCTCTAGCCACATCCTGCCGTCCTATCCGTCATCAAGCAAGACTACGGGTCAACTATAGATTTTGTATCAGAAGGAGAATAATTGGTGTAGCTTTGTTGGGGTATAGAAATAACAAGCTGATACTGTCACACAACCGAACCATTCTTAAATGCTGCAGTCTTTAGGACTGAATCCAATGTGGTGAATAAGGATTCAACAGTAGGAAACTAGGACTATGCTTTGGAGGCAAGAGTTGCTTCAACATTATGATTCTGATCTTTGCCCTGCAGAGTGTGTTCATGCTTTGAGTTCTTGTAACCCTAGTCCACAGCTGCACAGCACAACAACACAGAAATGTTGGGCTGGCTGTATGTGCACATGTATACGGGCAATCATGGTGACAGAGATGCAAATGTGGATCTGAGAATGCTCTGCTGGCCACAGCAGTTTGTTTGCATATTCTCTGAAGATACATATCAGGGGATAGCCATTACCTTTGTGCCCTGGCTGTGAGTGTGAGCTTCCAGAGCATCTGGATTAGAATGCTTTGCTAGAAGGGCATTAATCTGATCCAGTAAAGGTTAATTTTGAAAGCCATGAGGCAGGAGGGAAGGAAGTCAATAGGCTCTAAGAGCCAAGGCGGTATAGTGGATAAAGATGATGTGAATGTATAATATTAATTGGAAAATAAATAAAAATTATATTAAAAAATAATAACCTGACCCAGTAAAGTTCTTCTCATGGATTGTGGGTATTGGGTGATATGTGATAAGAACACAACTTTGGAATGCTTATAGATAGTATAAGACTGGAGTCTTTTCCCAGCTCTGCCTGGAGAAGCTGGATATTGAACCTTGGGTTGTTTACACAAGACACATGTGCTCTGCCACTGAGCTATGACTTTCCCTTGCCTTCAAGATGTAAAAAAGAAGGCAAGGCTGGCAAATCCTGGAGAACTTTTAGTGGTTCCTCTTTGCAAAATGTTTGAGAGCTTCTGGCACAAGATCCATAAACATGTAATGTCTGATCCTAGGTAGAAAAACAAACAAGTTCTTATAATAACTGTTAAAACAATTGTTTAATAACGGAGCCTGGAGAACCCAGGGCTGAAAATGTGGAGGGGGCAACTGGCTGTGTGTCCTCACAGTTTCCAACTGAATATTGGACTAGTATTGGTAGGCAAATGTTGCCGAATTGAATTAAGGACAATGTAAGGTGCAGTACTTTTGTGTGATGGTAGTTTAATTGTATTTCTTTTCATATGCAAATTCTTAAAAAGCCTGGTAAAGCTAAGGTTGCTATCTGATATAGGAAGGGCTGTTCTGTGGTCCTATGCCAGTGTAATGTTGCTGCATGCTGATCTGATTTTGTCACATTGCAGTGGCATAGTTCTTAGTATACCCAATCTTAAATGATTATATGCCCTCAGGCTGTTTTTCTTTGGTTAGTAGCAGCACTCAAACAGAAGATATTATCAGAGTGAGTTCACATTGCTTATAAGGGCTCTGAGCCAAGCATTTTCAACCAACTTGTAGGAGTACATCCCTTTTATTAAACAAGACATTCCACAGCCCACTGGATCCCTCTGTGGTGCCATTCCTGATAGGCTCGTTTTTATGTATTTGTGTATTATACACACATATATTCAAGCACAATGTCCTGTGTTCAAGAGGTTTCTGTTATCCCTAAATCTTTTAACTGCAAGAGGAAGAAAAGGCTGCTTTATGCAGAGATGCATGTGCAGAATCTGAAGGGAGGTATGGGATTAATGGGAAGAGATTTGTTCATACAAACCTTTATGAAAAATGGAATTGAGGCTTTGCAGGCAGTGTAAGTGGAATGGCAAGATTAGCTGTGGGCTTTCCTTGACAAGGGCTCATATTAAGAAGAGAGCTGCCATCTCTTGGTAAACAGAGAAGATGTGAGTGTGATATTAAAGCATCCTAGGGCTGCTTCCCTCCCCCTATCAGGGACAGCAGTGCTAGTTGATTACAGGGTAGGGGTGAAGGAGAAAGCCCCCCCCCAAGGTAATATCAACTGGGTCCTTATGTCTGTCTCCTCTCATAACAATGTGAGGCGGCAGGAAAGGCCTTTACCTTAAATTCTGAATGCTTTGAGTATGGAAAGTTTTGTTGTCACCGCCACACACAATTTCAATTTTAAAAATGTAGCATTGCCAAAATAGACAGTATTAAATGTGATCTATAGGCTTTAAAAAAGTCACTCTATTGTTGTTTTGTTGTTTTAGTTGCTGTTGTTGACAGCATTAGCTATATGAGTGTAAGCGACAATGTAGCTGAGTAGGACCAAAAAGGTCTTTCATTCTATGTTTAAATGTCCATTCTTTTAAAGATTTCTAGGAACACAGAAACATAGAAAGCTGCCTGTACTTAATCAGACCATTGGTCCATTTAACTCATTCTTGCCTACACTGCAGCAGTTCTCTAGGGCAGAGGTGGGGCTATCCATCCCCACCGCTGCAGGACAGCATTGTCAGGTGGCTGGGACAACCCACTTGGCAATCACTTGATGTTGTCATGAGTCCACAATTTTAAGGAAGGGAGTATTTCCCAGCCCTGCCCAGAGATGCCAGGGATTGAATCTGAGTGGGACCTTCGTCACACAAAGACCTCGCTCTGCCACTGAACTGCATCTCTTCATCCAAACAACTGTGCACAAATAGTGTTGAAGTTCTTCACTTTTATTCCTAGAAGGGGCAAGGACAGAAAACCTTTTTTGTGCTTTTAAAGCTGCTGAACTATCTGACATCCATTTAATTTGCAACCTAATATATGATACTCAAAATAGTCATGAAGAGCATTGCTAAAACATGTTAGTAATCTTTCCATGGGCATGTTTGCAAAGGCATGATATAGATTGAGGCAATGTGTTCCAGAACAAGTTCTTGATAGATGGCAATATTTAAAATCCCCTCTTCCATCACTTTAATAAACATTGATCCTAGCATCTTCGACAGAAATGAATATTGTCTAGAGGTGACTACTAAATTTAAGTAAGCCTGGGAGCCCTTGACAACATGAATGGCTGCATCCCTCATAAGTGAGACAGCAGATGTTGCATGTGTGACAGGGACACAGGCATCCCCACTGTGGCTTTTCTTTCCCCGCCCCGTAACATGGAACTACATTCCCCAGTGTGATGTTATGTGACATCATTACACCGTGAATTTTCCAGTCTCTGCCCAAGTTCATTGGCGGCTGCTGTCAGGGGTAGGAAAACTCACAGTGTAATGACTCCATACCATGTGGGGCCTGTATTTAAATTGCACAGCAGAGGAGGATAACTTGCGAGTAGTTTTCAACTACACCCCCGTGGAGCATGTAAAGTCTGCTCCCACTTGTAAGACAGCTGAGATGAGGTCTTTTGCCAATCAGTTCAGTACGCACGTACAGACTGTCCTGTTTTCAGCTCTCCCCACTGCCCTAGGGATGGAATTAAATGAGCTAATAGCTTTCTTGAGAAGTTATTCTGGACTATATCTATGTCAGACCTTAGCTTAAAGTTCCAACTTTCGGATTCATACAGGAGCTGACCTTGCAGTTCTGCTTGGAGCACTTTAATTGCCAGTTGGACCAAATTGGTTCCATATAGCCTAGTGAATCCGAGAACAGCATTGGCACAACAGCCTCTCTTAATCCTGCTCTCAGAAATGCTCTGAGAGTCTCATACCAGCAAGCTGTCTGCTCTAGAGGAAGACAATCTGAAATAAGAGAATGTATTGAGTCGTTCTATTTAGTGTCCATCACTTTCCCATGAATATTTTCAGAATAGCCGCCCCCCTCAAAAAGGTGACTGCTTGCTGTATCATAGTTAACTGTAAGATTTGTTAAAGTTCTAGCAGTAGCAAACTGGTCTAGCATTATTTTCAGACCCAAGTAATAATAAAGCCATATTTTTACCGATAAGACAAGAGCCAGCTTCAGAACAGTGAGGGAGAGGAATATTTATTTAAAATATTTACAGTCTCATTTGTGCATATAAAAAACAGCCAAGCTTAAACTATTCCATTAATCCTGACACTGAACACACACACACACACAAAAAATCACAATGTATCCTTACAATTACTTTAGATCTTGAGTTATGAATATGACATAGCCTGTAACTTGAATTATGCCTTTAGCTTTATTGAACATTTGGAGCAGTAAATTGTTACCCCATACCTCTATACCAGAGCTGGTCTTCACTGACAGAAGCCCACATATTTCCATAGAATCACAGAATTGTAGAGTTGGAAGAGACCATCTGGCTCAACCCTCTGCAATACAGAAATATTTTTGCCCATTGTGGGGCTCAAATCCATGACCCTGAGATTAAGAGTCTCATGCTCTGCTATGTTCTGTGGGAGGACAATATTGTGTGCCCAGTCGCTGATCACGACCTCCTCCAGTTTAGGTGATAACCATATACTCTTGTACATACAGTATGTATGTCCTATGCAGATATTCAGCCTAACATGCGGAAGTCAGGACTGTGGATTGGCCATTTGATCCTCCCCCCCCCCTATTCATTTATTGCAACACGTGCCTAGGGTTAGAAGTACAGGTTATCATGAGCTCTACAAAACTAGCAAATATTTACTCACATATGCATACAACATACATTGGCACTGGATGTTGGAGCATAAAGCGATTTTAAATTGTGGTATAGCCTTCCTCTACCCTCCTTGTTTTCCTGCGGTAATATTTTCATCATCTTCCCAGCCAGACATTTACCTAGTCAAGAAGCTTCCCTGCTTAAAGGTCAGTTATGTTGGATGCAAATATTAAGAAATATGAAGGAAATAACAGAAATAGAA